TATTAACTTTAATGTTGCCTTAATGTTGTATGTTGTCTTAATTTTATTCCTACATATTATAGCTAGGACTACCAAGTAATAGGATATTACATACAAGTTCTGGACAGCCTATCAGTTCTGCTAATGTTACTGGGGACCTTGGTTTCAAACCAAGAACTGGTGTAAGGTGGAAGGGGAAAAAAGCAATGACATCAAATCAACTTGAAGTGATGAGGGATGAGATGAGAGTGAACAAAAGACAGAAAAAGGCTTCTTCACAATCCTAGGAACAATGGAAGTAGTTAAAACATTTTGATAGTTTTTTGAGATCAAAGTTGATGTAATCTTATTTATCATGTTAGTGGGCAAGTTATTTACCATATTTGTATGTTTTGAAGTTGTTATCAACTAATGTATGCTACATTTGCTTGTTTTAATCCAATTGTGCTTTTTATTGTACTTTGTATCCAATTGTGTTTTGTATATGCATTTTACATTAATCATAAACACTTACGAAGTAGTAACATACACAATAACCGTTCATAGAAACAAGGATATTGCATCCAACACAAAATCAAGTTCATTGACTTTAACCATACATACTAGCAAACATAAACACTTTGAAACTTACATCAACCAAAAGAAATCTTCAACTAGCTATTTTGATTCAAACAACAACCTATGATAACATAAGGAAATCTTTCAACTACCTATTATGATCCAAACAACAACATCAACTACCTATTTTGATCCAAACAGCAACATACATGATTAAGAGACACACCATGAACATTCTATTAAGGCTAAAGTAGCTACTCCATTTCTTCTTCACCTCAATCAATTTGTCTACCTCTTCACAGTCTGAAAACACTCCATCCATCTCTTTCAAACTAGATTGTTCTTCCAACTGGGTAAAGACAGATTGAGCTTCCATCTCCGTAATTTGTCTATCATTGAAACCATTGATTTCTTCCACCTTCTTCATTTTCTTTTCATTTGCAACTAATAGTTCATTCATGTCCTTCATTTTCTTCACCAATTTATGAATGCCGAACTTAGAGCGTTCATTAATCACATCATCCCTCCATCGAAAATATTTACACTTTCGTGATCCATAGTATGGGCAAGACCAAAATCTTCTACCCGGATTATTATCAAACCAAGAAGTTTTCAAAGTGAGCAACAAATCATGAAAGCATCACACTTCCTCGTCAACTTTGGATCATCTTTATCAAAACAAATGCTATTCAAATCCAATTTTACGTCTTCCATGGATAACCCTAACAAAAAAAAATTAGAAATCTGAAAAAAGAAATTAGAAGCACTAAATAACAATAGAGCAAATAAAATCAAGAAAGAAATCTGAAATTAAAGAAAATAATTTGCTTAATAGAAAGCTTACCTGGCCCTTCAATGGTGGTCTTTCGGGTCTGTATTACAGCGAAAGAGAAGAGTGTAAATTGAATTAGAATTATAGGTAAAAAGAAATAGATATAATTTAATCCCTGTATTGATACGTGGCATTTAATGATTGGCGTAAAAAAAATTATCTGGTGCCATACGCACCTATGCATCGTGTTTTCACTCACTTGACCAAATGGGCAAATATATATGTTTAAAATACGATATTAAATAGTAAAGGTATGTAATAGGTCCTCATGAAAGTTTAGTATCGCAACAGCAAATCCGACCAGAGTTGAGGTATTTTTCAGACCCTTATCCCCTCAAAAAATGTCTAAAGTTTTATCTCTTTCATATTTCTAATTAAATTTTATTGGGAAAAGGCTCAAATATGCCATCGAACTTTCAGAAAAGGCTCATTTATGCCATCCGTTAAAAGTTTGGCTCATCTATGCCATTACCGTTTAAGAAAAGGCTCATTCATGCCATTATTTTTTAACGGTGGTTTTGCAAAACTATTCTAACCTAGAAAATGACAACAAATTGGCAATACATATTATGCAGTTAATATTACACAGTTTATCTATTATTAAATGCAGCTAGATTTGGAAAAACCAAGGTAAGAAGAGGTTACTCCCTCCATCCCAAAATATTTGTCACGTTTGTTTCTCCACAATTAAACTATATGAACTTTTAACAATTACCATGTATTTTTTCACTATATTGATATGAGAAGAATTGCAACTTATACTATTTTTCATATACTTTTCAAATAACTAAATTTTAATTTTAAAATATTAAATTAGTTCAGTCACCTTAACTCCGAAGATTAATCAACCTAACTGACATAGGTTCCTACCATATGTGCAAGATTTTAATGTCAACCTTATGAAAAACAATGGATTAAATTTTCAAAAAATGAAAATAAAATTATGACTACTTTTCAACTGATATATAAACTATATTCTAGAATACTTATATTGGGAAAATTTATCTTATTTGGTTACTTTCTTCTTTCCGTGATTAAGACCTTAGAGAATCAACATGTATAAGCTAATACTGTTTCAACACTAAACATATTTATCTTTTTAAGGTAGATTAGGGACTCTTATCTAAATCACATACTTATCCTTATATTGACATTTATAGAAAGAAAAAAAAACTCCTTAGAAACAGCAAGAAATAAAATACGAGTAATAACAACTAATTAAGGTATAATCCAACTAGTTTAACTGAAAATCAATTATTGTTATAACTAGATAATTTATAATCACATAAATATTCAAAACTTGTTTTAGATTATAAATTTTAAAAACCATCATTACAGTCAAACACAATCATAGAAGACATGACTACTATTACTTTGAGTGCAAGATTTTTCTTTTGACTTTTGTTTTTACATTCTGCCTAAAAGCCATTTAGATTTGGATTTTAGGATCAAAATTCAAAAAAGTACTCTCTTCTGAGTCTTGCTATTTATCCTCAATGGACTGGCACCCAATAGTCCTTTGTGTCACAAATTTCTATGTTTGTTAGAATTTTTATGATTTTCACATTATCTAGTATCGTGTGGCTTATATTTAACGGATAACGAATCTCATTTACTTGTTTATAGTTTGAATTACCTAGGTAAAAAAAAATTGGACTCCGCCAGAATGTTTTTGGTAAATATTTTTGGATTTTAGACTTCAAAGTCTAAAGGACAATTATTAGTGAATCTGATTCTGATAATAGTATTTTCCTTTTCAATATTGGCATATTATTATTCCGACTCCATGTGAAGAAGTAAATTCTTGAAATCCCATTGTTTGAAATAACAAGTCGAAATCCCCTTTTTTTCCTTTTATAATAACTTACGCGGACATGCACTAATTCGATAGAGTGTCTTCCATCCGCACAAATATCAAATAATTTGTTCATCAAAATATTATGATTCTAAAACTACTTCCATTAACCACACTAGATCAGACCCTTGATTACAAGTCGATATCCTCTTTAAGCATTACGTTTTAGCCAATCATTATTTACCACTTAAAAGGTAAAGATCGAGCTTTAATTCCTACTATGATTGATGCAGAGTAAATAACCAAAACACACTATATATTCACTATGAATTAACTCATGTAAAAGTTGGATATGGTACCCTTGATAGTAAATAAAATTGGGAAAAGGCTCAAATATGCCATCGAACTTTCAGAAAAGGCTCATTTATGTCATCCGTTAAAAGTTTGGCTCATCTATGCCATTACCGTTTAAGAAAAGGCTCATTCATGCCATTATTTTTTAACGGTGGTTTTGCAAAACCATTTTTTACACGTGGCCAATTATAATTCGGCCACATCATTATTTTTTTCAGAATTTTGATTTTTTATTATTAAAAAAATAATGACGTGGCCGAATTATAATTGGCCACGTGTAAAAAATGGTTTTGCAAAACCACCGTTAAAAAATAATGGCATGAATGAGCCTTTTCTTAAACGGTAATGGCATAGATGAGCCAAACTTTTAACGGATGACATAAATGAGCCTTTTCTGAAAGTTCGATGGCATATTTGAGCCTTTTCCCAATTTTATTTACTATCAAGGGTACCATATCCAACTTTTACATGAGTTAATTCATAGTGAATATATAGTGTGTTTTGGTTATTTACTCTGCATCAATCATAGTAGGAATTAAAGCTCGATCTTTACCTTTTAAGTGGTAAATAATGATTGGCTAAAACGTAATGCTTAAAGAGGATATCGACTTGTAATCAAGGGTCTGATCTAGTGTGGTTAATGGAAGTAGTTTTAGAATCATAATATTTTGATGAACAAATTATTTGATATTTGTGCGGATGGAAGACACTCTATCGAATTAGTGCATGTCCGCGTAAGTTATTATAAAAGGAAAAAAAGGGGATTTCGACTTGTTATTTCAAACAATGGGATTTCAAGAATTTACTTCTTCACATGGAGTCGGAATAATAATATGCCAATA